CGACAGGCGGCAAACTTGCTCGACTTCATATAGCATCCGGAAGGAGACCAACTGTGAAATTACCAACCTGTATTCCAAGCCCACAGGTACGCATTACCATCTTCATTCATCCAGCTGTCACTCTAGGCAATGCAAGACCGGTACAACATTCAGTCAAGCACTCAGGCTGGGAGTAGCGCATTTTGCTCAAAGGATTCAGATTTCTCTGGTCATACAAACACAGGAACAGAAGAGGCATTTGATTGCAAGGGGCCAAGCTCAATGCTCCATTAACAGGGCCTGCTCCGTCCCCCGAAGTCTTACTGTCAAGGAAAAGATCCCAGTGAAGACTCTGAAGAGACCATCCTCAAGCTTCCCTGGTCACCACTTTTACTGTCCCCCCCTGTAAAATAACTAATGAAAATCATCAAGTTCTCCGCATTTCAGACTGCCTATAGTCAGTACCGTCTCAGACACCTTGCGTCTGGCCTACAAGCATCCCCGCAATCTACGGGACCTGATCATTCAGGCAGATGTCCCCTCTTTGGATACACTCCCCCCCCCAGCATGGTACCTTAAAGTAAAACTATAACAGATGAGTTATTTGCCAGAAACATGTCCTGCAATCAGACACATTCTGTGAATACACTGCTGGTACCACCCACAAAACCAAAGGCATCATAACTTCCAGCTCTTCCTATTATCTCTTGGAGGGTGTGCAGTATTTTGTTCAGTGTTTTGGAAAGACTAAAAGAACACTCTCAACAAGTGTTTCTATGGCCACGGATCCACAGTCAACACCAAGCGACTAGATCATCACTCCAACTAAACATTCCTAACCATTCCATTTCTTATATGGTCTAAAGATGCCGTTCCCTTCATTGGGGAGAAGCTGTGGATTAAACGCCTCCGGACCGTACAACCGCGGTGACCTGAACATCCAAGAAGGAAAGTACCACTTAATACTCCTGTCCTCTCCCTTACCTTTGTTTTTTAAGCTAATCCACCCCTCTTGGTGTCCGCCACTTTCCATTGTGATTTTGTCTAACCCCACACCCCTTTGCTCATTACCCACGTCTTTAACGTAGTCCCCTTTTACTTGGCCCTTCATCCAGCCACCAGCTTTCTAACCCCTTTTCTCCTGGACTTTGAATTATTAATTGATGCCTTGCTTGTTTGCCTCTGGCAGTTTTTCATTTTGCCTTCGAGAAAGATTCTACTATAGGAACGAAACGTTAGGGCCTCGTACTTTTTTGATATGAAATACGTTTTGTGTTAATTCAATATGTTGCTCTCCTCACTCTCCATCCCATTTCTTGTCATGGTTTGTATAAAAACAGTCGAGTGGCTGATTATTTCATGTACCTATCGTGAGTGGAAATCAAGCTCTTTTAAACGATGTCTATCCCGATGTGCGAATTAATGGAGCGACAGAAGCAATAACGTACGTAACTTCAACTTTACAGATGAACATGTATAGCGATAAGTTGCTTAAAACCAGTGCGCGTCATTGATGGGTAAGAGTTACCCGGGTCCGAGGGTGAGGCCCCAGGGCCCATTCTCAGTGTGATCTTACTACGAAAGACGGATACCTTTGGCATTGTCCTTTACATAACGTGTCATTCAGTGTTTCTCTGGTGTCTACTGGCTGTCTGTGCAGCCAGCAGAGCTACGGCACTGTCGTGAAATGTCTTCAATTCATTGCTAAGTCGACTTCCTCGTCTCACCACATTTAGCTCAGTAGTATTGAAGCTAGGGCCCGTTCATCAGCCGTTGACGACAACCGAGCAATCTTGTGACGGTCGTCCCTCCGGTACATGCATACATGGAGCGTCATGTCATTTCAACGATCCGACACGCATTGCTCCGGTCGAGGTAACCACTTATTTGCTGAAACTACACTGTGGGATCCATATGCCAAACTATTGCCTCCAGTGGTAAGCTCCACCATCTTTTAGTCCCTGTTGTAATTGTATACATTTAGTGATAACCAAGCTGGATTGATGATCAGGCCTAGAAGATGAAAAATAGGCAGTGCATGTAGCATGGACATGCACGTGCCAAGGCTTGGAGTATTGTTCGCACATCAAGCTTTAATAGGCCTATATCTTTTTTTCTTGTACACAAAGAACGCTTTAGGCTTGTGCGCTTTAAAGACGTTTAAAATTCCAATTGATACGTTTCTTGTTTGGTAAGAATCTCATCTCTTGCTTTGTCATTTAAACTCTTGCAGAGGAATAGTTCATGTACTTAAAGTTGAAACAAAAAACATAACGTTAAATATGAAACAAAACATTCCCTGTTGAAAGTATGGTGGTTGAAGTAATGCATAGAATGAGTTTATTTAACAAAACTCGAGAAGGGCTCACTACATTCCCTCTGCTCTGATGAGTGTTGTGATTATGAACTACAGTTACATCGGCTAAGGCCGGTTCATGTTACAGGCGAATGTGAAAGCAAAACAACTGTGACGTCACGAAAAATTTACAGCAAACAATCGTTCGAATCGAAATGTATGTAGGCCTAACTTCTGCGAATTCGCAGCGCCATATTTGTGATCTGCCCTGGCTGCCAGTGAGTTTGTGAGGATTTCCGTGCATTAAAGTGCGGGCTACAGATTTCCGTTTGTGTTCGCTGTCGCATGAAATGTACTGTGCAAATATAAGCGCATGATAACGACAAGGCTGTTTGTACTTTGCAATTAATATAATTCGTCTTGGTTGTCGATTTGAAAAAAAGGAGCATCGATAATTATTATAATGATAGTTCTGATTTAAGCCAAATGAATTTCGGAACATTTTGGACTGCACCAAGTATTACTAACGTGCGGATTCGCACACTTTCTAGGGGTAAGGTTCACCCGTGTGCTGTGTTACGGGAAACTCGTACTCCTGTTTTAAAAAAAGTGCAGTTTGATCCGCTGTTTGTCCGGGTAAAGCGGTATTAATTAAAGTGTGTTTGATGTAATAAACACACGGCAGTGTCTAGTTGCATGAATTTGGCATCAGCAAAATGGCGGCAGATGATACATAACATATATCGGCTTCCGTATAATTGTGTTGGCGCATGCGTTGATTTTCAGCCGTTGCCAAGAGTAGTAATCATATTTGAAAGAGTGTTATTCTTTTGAAGTGATTTTTAACTGTTATTCGAGTGTAACTGTTATTCGAGTGGTTTCCAGTCTTTTGCGAGTGGTTTTCTCCTTTTCACATTTAGAAAGTCTAGGCCTATTAGTTTTATTTGTTTTAAGTTTACAGTATAGACTCGAAGTGTCGCTGCGTCCGTCTTCGTGTTATGCTGGAGTCATATACAGTTATCAATATGCTTTCATCATAATTTTTCATGAACCAGTTTATGGAAAGTCAATTAGCCGGCAAGGTTTGCGCAAATCCTGATTGACTGAGAGGAAAAGACAGGTAAATTGAGCACGGCATACGCAGATCGCTGCCAAGAAAGCTCACGTTACTTGTGACTGTTTGTGCGAACAGACCTGTGTTTTTTCTCTACAGCCATTCAGGCGACCAGTTGATGGCATACAGCATAATCTCACATGAATTCTACCACGCTCTTTGCAGACGTCTCTTAGCTAGAAGTCCTGACTTGTAACAAAATCACAATTATAGATTGTGTACATGTGAGTGTTGTATATTAGGAGTTATAGCGTGAAGAACAGCTCATAAAAAACAGAGAATTTCTAGGAAATGTTTCATAGTCGGGAGTACGGTTTATCATTCAGCCTCGTTGGCTGTTAGTTTTTAGCCTACTGGGAATTGGGATTGTAATTGTTTCACGGTTGATTGATAGTGGCGGGTCGTTCAAGCTTTTCGTCTTGTCACAGGCACTTAATTCGGAAATAATTGAGAGTATCGTGGCTCTATATCGTTCCACAATTCCCGTTGCCAATAGGTCTGCTCTTTTGACGTTACAGTCGTGTTTTTCCTACAAGTAGCTGCAAAAACTGTGGCTTGCCGTCGGCTCACAAGCATAAAAGAATAATTCGCAGTGTTAAAACTCCACGCAGCTGTCAGAACTCCAGATAATACACTAAATGGAAATATAACCCTCTGTCAAATTAATGTAGGGGACAAAATGTCAATTTTGAGGTAATATCGAAAACCAAACGAAAGGTGATGTTTCTGGTTTATTTTCGTGGTACAGTAGTTGGCAAGCCTCCAAAGTTTTGTTATAAAGTGCTATGAAGACGGGCAACCGTCACCCAATGTTGGATTGGCACGACAACCACACTTGGCACATTCAGTGACAAACATGCCACAATGAGAACAGAATTCCTAGGTATCGTACATGAAGATAGCCCAGCCTTCATGGTATAATTTACAATGTACAACGTAAGGATTGCTTACCAAACGCTAAACCACAGCAAGGGTGGGGAAACCGTGTGGTCACGTGGTACTTGTAACTCTTTCGATCAGTTCCTATTCCTTTTGTCACAATATAGTCGTCAATTCTACACGTCGTTTGATAAGACAGACAAAACAGATAAGACAGATGAGACAGACAAGGCAGCAAATGCTGCGGCAGACCTAAAGTCGCGCAACCAGAGTACGTAGCTCGGAACTTCCAAATCGTTACATTTGAGGTATTTCGATCAAACCGGCTCTCTAATTTAATTTCCTTATGCCTTCATCCGTGTAACCTATTGCCATTCTTCATCGATCACAAGCAGTCATAGACTTACAACATCAGCAATTGTGTATTATAATGTATTGGTCTGCATGGAGTTAATGATAACAAGCATATGGTGTCGTCGCGCACACGAACATTGCCAGGGTCATTGGCCTGTGCCTGGGCATGGACTGAAGAGTTGCAGGAAATGAATCCATAATTTTGAAAGAAATACTAACCAAAAATACGAGTGATCTGATCATGTGATGGGCTGTGCCTCATGCTGTGTCCGTGTTTTGAGCGGAGTTGATTTACAATCCAGGAAATACGAACGAAATATAGCTGACGATACAGGGCGCGGCCTCATATAAAATCGCTTGGCGTGTATTAAATTCACTTTTCAAATTCACCTACAGAAGGGTCTAGAATCGAAACATTGGAGAGGCGGGAGCAAAGCTATGTACAGTCTTCGTGCTTGTCCGTATACCAGATTTGCCTTTAATAGCAAGGAAAAGAAGCCTAATTTAAATCGAGTGTCGTTAACTCAGGTTGACGACATTGGATAGCGTTTCCAGGAGCGGCTGATCGACTTCTGAGAGGAGCGAACTCTCAATCTTTAAACACGTACTATACGTTGGAAATCTGCCAAGACAATGAAGGTGAGTTTCAACCCTAAATATGGGCAACTTATAGCCATATTTTAACGATGAATCGTGCATTGGATTTTATTTTCCAGCCTACCAGCATGAAGTTGCTATGTAACCCCCGAATTAATCTTGTGTTGGGTCTATCAAATGATATGAATTATTGGTGCCAACGAAAAAAAAACGGAACTTTTAATTCCAGAGGTAAATGGATTGGCCGACGTTTTTACCCATCCGTGATCACAGGAAATGTCTTGAACTCATCGGTAATACCTTGATTTGCTGCAGGAGGGATATTGCTTTGGTGGGAGGGGGATTTACCGCCTTTCAAACTTAGCTATGCAAGAGCTGTAAGATGCCCTTTAGCTCCATGTATGGGTAGATTGCTGAATACTTGGGTATATTTTACCCGCTGATATCAGATCTAACTGGTGAAAATGCTACAGTGATATATCAGATGAGGGCTCAAGGACATTACGCAAGTAGTCTGAAGTGATAAAGTGTGAACTCGACCTTCCCAGGGTCATGTTTGTGGTGGTGGGTACCAGCAAATCACATTCATATAGATTGTTGCACATGCGTGAATCAGGTGGATGTCGCGACAGAATAAGGGCTAATGGACGTGACACAAGAGTATGATGAAAACCGGTGAATGGATAACCTGATTGCACGCCTTGGGTACAGACGTCTGCTTGTCTGAAATGACTTGATTACAAAACGAGCGTCGGGACAATAATTATGCGATAGACACCAAACAGACGGTTTTCAATGCTTTCATGTACGTGGCATTTACTTCCTCGAAGCATATCGAGCAACTAATACTTCAGTACAATGTGGACTGAAGTCCTCAGAGGCAGTTCAGCTGAAGGTAATACGTCTAACCAGAAACGATATGCCTCTAGTAGCCTTTCTGTTTCCTGAAAGTTCTTTATAATTAATATTCAACCAGTGATTTTTATAGTTCTGCGTGGACGATGAAGCCGTCAGTTATTTGCTTATATCGATTACCCGATTTTAAACTTCGAGGATCGACACTTCCAATATTAGGTCATACATAGGATATAGTATAGCTGTGTTATGCTTATTTTAGATGCCGGCCGACGGCTGTTTGGTACATTTTGATGTGGGTGTAAATCCCAGGGCGATTATCGCCCACACTTTTTGAACATGGGACATGCTATTAAACCTTCTCTTTCCCCTACTTTTTGTAGTGAGGAAAAAATCAAGGCGTGTTGCGAAGAAGTTTTCAGACTTCCCAGCATCCAAAATATACCGGTATTCAACAGCACTTGAAAAGGGAGAACAGTGAAAACATGCCCTTTCTATTAAAGGTTTTTGCAGGACTGTAGAGACGCCTTTCAATAACGCGCGTCAACACTTGCGCCAAGCTTATGGATGAGTATCCGTCAAAATTGTTCCTGGGGCCATTTTGATGGCCGAATGCAACGCACACGTATTATGTTAATAGAGTCAATTTTTTGTCCGTGAAAGTGACACGCGCGAACGCATCGTGTTCGCAATGCACCCAAAAAACAAACATTATGGACAGGCGCCTAAATGCATGTTACAGGTGAATGTCACTATGTATCACGAACATCGCCTTCAGTCAGTCCCGCCCCCCCCCCTCGCTTTTCAAATTTCCATTGCCGGGTGTTTCGTTCCCCCATCCCCCAATCGCCCAACCCCCCCAGTTCTCGGCACAAATTTATGCATTGAATAATTTGGCATTGAATCTCTCGCAATTTTGGGCCAGCCTGTATAGTTTACAGGGTCTACTTTTCGTGAACTCATGGGTGCTGGTTTCAGGTTCCTGTGGCTTCCCTGCATAGGACTATCACTAAACGCATTCGATACGTGAAATCAATTGGGCGCGTTATATCCGAGAAGAGGACAGACTTGTGGATAGTGCCCTGGAAAAAAACAAACCAACTAGAACACGGTTCGGGTAACCAGTGCGTAAGTTAATTTCTGCTTTGAAGGAGAACCATTACGGCCTGCCATTTTTTTATTGGTGGAAGTCGTCGCGTGTTACCTAACGGAATTGTCCTATATTACTCAACCTCTTTCTTTTCGTTTCGTTTTCAGGATCGTTTTTACATAGTCACACGGTCAGAAACCGAGCATGCCCAAGTTCGAATATAGTTCTACACAAGGTTGAGTGCGCAACTCTCATCCCGGTCATCTGCAGGGGCGCGATTAATAACTCTTTATAAAACATGTATTCCGTACTGAAGCATCAACGCTAAAGATTATACACGGAATACCAATATCATAATCCGTATTGCACTTTTATTGAACGTGGCCCAGAAGTACGGCGACTGAATTATGACACATCTGGCCAACAACACAACACGGCCACCATGGACGTCTTACACCAACGTCACAGAGGACCTTGGCGTGAACTCCGCTAACAGTCTGTCCAATACCATTCAGACGTACTGCATTTTGTCTAGCGGGTTTCTTCTGAACTTGATTGCAGCCTTCACATGGACTAGGCCTGGCTGCTTGCCTCGTCAGCGTACGTGCCCGACCATCATCAGGGCAGCCTTGGTGTGGGTGGACCTTCTCTCAATCACCGGCTATATCATCCGTGGAGGGCTCACGCCGGCCCTGAAAAGCTTCAACTACAACTTGTTCTGTGACATCTTTGGCTTCACGAATACCATGTTCTCGCTGACGTCCGGGATGATCGCGGGAGTTATGTCTGTGGATCGCTTCGCGGCACTCTCGACACCTTTTAAGTACAAATCCCGTTTCACGCCGAGACGGATAACACTCGCAATCCTGCTGGCGGTAGTCCTCTCCGCCCTGGTGGGATCGCTTCCGTTTCTTGGTATCGGATCCTATCGTCCCATCGACCACTTCCACGGCACGACGGTGTGCAAGCTCAACTGGTTCCCGAACGAGCGGCCGCTCTTTTTGCTGCACTTCGCACTATACCAGGTGGTTGGTTGGTTCCTCGTGGTCGTCGTGGTGCTAAGCAATGTCGGGGTGATTCGGACCTTGCTGAACATGAGGAGACACGTGGCCGCAGCTGGCACCCAGCCCCCTAACATTGACAGGAAACGGGAAGTGCGTTTTGTGAGGACTATGATGCTGATCACGCTGTTTTTCGGCTTCTGTTGGGTGCCATGGATGGTAAGACCATTCTAAATCCCCTGTGGTCCCTATCTAAACAGAACATACCAAAGACAGAGGTTGATCTTTTGACGTGTGGAAACTAACAGTGATGCTATCAGTTGGACAGACAGTTAAGAATCCATTGAAACATTTCAATCACTGGCCTTTCTTACAAATATTTGCTCCATCCTAGGGGAAGTAAATGGGGTTTGTCGATCGTTCTGAGCGGGGGTGGACTAATTAGAGAAACAGGGGTCGTTCCCAAGCCATTGCTCCCCGTAGCTGCTGTACTGTTCGCCATTCTCCCAAAACGTTTAAGGTTTCAAGGTCTAACTTTGTTATGATTCTGGGAGTGCACAGTTTTAAGTTCATTGACATTCATTAAAATTAATCTTTGGCCCATTTTGTTCTTGCTTTGTGCACGTGCACACTGATCCCTGCAGATCACAACCATCCTGACCAAAGTGGGATCGAAGACGACGCTGGAAGGGGACGTGTTCGTCACTCGGCTCCTCTTGGCCAACAGCGCGTTCGACCCACTCATCTTCATGGTCACCAGCGAAGTGTTCTGCTCGCGACTCCGCGACAAGGCTGGGCAGGCATTGCGGCGACTATGCCGCGGGAAGGGACCCGACAGCCCACCCCAGCTGAATGCTTCATTTGGCAGCGTGGACTCTGATGCCAACACAGGCCCCCCGGCAGGTGAGGGCGAATCTATCATTGTTCCTTTCTTGGTAGTATGCAAAATAATTATTTTCAAGTTTCCCGATATTAAATACTGAGCTTATCGTTCCGGAACAGTAATGGCACGCATTTTGATGCAGCAGGGAGATTCTTGTCTGCCTTGGTGGCCTTTGGGAGAAAACAATAAATTTGTGTAGGAATTCAATCCACCTGTCAACTGTCAGATTAAAAGAGGGTTCGGAATATAAAATGTGTTAAAACCAAATCACATTAGATACGTTAAAATAGTCTTTTTTACAAATACAGCAAACGCGTCCTGTGCACAAATTCACCAATTCCGTTTTGTGAGCTAAAACAGACGACCAAAATACATGTGTTCGAAGGAAAACTGAATGGAATGCTTGATCAAATAATGAAAAATACTGATCGAGATTGCAATTTGGAGGTATCTTCAAAACTGATTCGGCATCAAGATGGTCTGTATCTACATCTGTCTCCCATTGTTGTCATTGTTTAGCACTTTTTACAGCCAAACGTACAAATGTCTCCGAAGTAGTCGTTGCCGTCTGCTCAAGGACGTGGATCGCGCTTCGCGTTTGCCTCGCATACTTGTGACTCGGAGAGATTATGACGATAATTCGCATATCGTAATTAAATTGTAGGTGTGGATCTGTGACAGCTCAGAGCATTTGTTGTAAGTTGTTGGGAAAAGCAGGGTGATACATTTTGACAATAGTGATGGTTTAAATTTTGCGGAAGATGTTTGGGCTCTGCAAAGAAAGAGTTGTATGAGTTGGGGGCATGAATGGGAACGTTTGGAATTTTCCAATATATTAATGTGGAAGAGGAATCCCAGTAACATGAGGAACATTGATTCCTATACCTGCTTCTGTTTTGTTTTTGCTTTGTAGGCGTTGACGAGACTCGCGTGACCACGACGTTGAGTTTGCCAAGCCTTAGCCAGACGCTTGGACCTATCATCACAGTGACGGAGGCACCAACCATGGCCGACGATCAACCAGAACGCGATGCGTCAACCTCGCTGGAGAAGCTGGTAGAAGGAAGCGCTGAGGAAATAGACCGGGGAGGGGCTGCTTTTACGTGTTGATATCTTGGTCAAAGGCGTGAGAACATTAGGGATCTACCCTTGGCTCACGAAAGACTTATCTCATTTTTAAGATAAATATCGCAGCTTAGAATCCTTCAGCCGCTTTTGGAATCATGGTAGGTCACAAATTGAGACTGTGCCTTGGCCACGACTGGATTCGCGAATTTAAGAGAAGGTTTGGCGGATCGGAGCATTATAACTTTAAGCTTTGTTAATCCAATCTGTGACGCTCCGGGAAACAGTAGCTCTGGAGCCTGGACATAAATTTGGCATGGAGGGTCATCAGCTTTTGCAATTAGTGTCTTGAGTACTGAGGAAAGTGGGGCAAGGGACCGTACCCTGTCTCCATGTAGCAAATAGCCAATTGCTTTGCATATACCAAGGTTTTAGCCAAACATTATCATAAGTTACTACATTTTCCAAGAATAATTATTTGCGGTCCATCACATATTCAGTACATGTGTGTATAGGCATGGTGAACCACTGACGGATATAAAATGCATTATGTATATACGTCACACATAAAGATACATATATTGAAAAGCAAAATTCTATAAAGACGGAGTTAATGTCTAGCGCCGAATTGTGGAGAATGCTGATTCCCCGCTTTCTGACAAGATATCATCGTAGCTGGCTTGCTATTTTGAATAAAAGGATTTTACAAATTCGATCTCGTTGGGAGTATCTGCACTTCATCATAAGTATATCCTACTGACTTAATTTACAATACGAATATCGTTTAAATGATACGACGACAAGAATAACAATCATCCCCATGGTAACGCCACTTTCATGCGTGGGTCAGAGAGAGTTGCGAAATGAGTGTCTCAACTGTTGGAGCCAAAATGGTGGATTATGCGTCAGTGCTGCTGACAATTAGCACACAATAGCTTTATGCTACACTACACGTAATGAACAGCCATTCTGGTTCCAAAATGTGAGGTTGGCACGACCCTCTCTGTATCTAGCGTGGGCGGCATAATTTTGCACATTACATTTTTATTTCACCAATCCACCTCGAGTGGGACCAAGAGGTAGCGCAATTTTCCTTCGGTCGAAAGTGCACCTTGCTGGTCCAAAAACACATGGTGGTAGCGTCGCTACAAAACAAAAAACAAAAAAAAGGATCCTCCTCCATCAATAGTCCTCTTTTCGACTGACGAGAGGATGCTTTTGGTCTCGGCGGATGCACACGTATCTCAGATGCAAACGCAGGTGGTTGTGTGGTACCGACATTGAGCTCCATCAGAACAGAGTGGCATTATTTACGCATCTCATAATCAGAAGAGACGCCATTGAAGCAGGATGGTACTGTAGTCGGGCTAGTATAAAGCTGCGTCCGGTGTACTTTAGTCTACGGCTTGAAATTACGCACGAGACTATGGCTACAGCCACTTCCCATAGAGTTCTTGTAATTTTTACGAGTAAAATCTAAATCTAAATAAAATCTGGTGCACGGAGTTACCTGATTGCACATAAACATAATTTGATTCTCCAGACTAAAGACACCGTTGCTGTACCTGGTGATTCGGGCCAAGCTTTTGCATTGCGACCACAATTTTTTGAATGGACTGGTACTTTTATGCCCTTCGTATTGAAAACAATGTATTAGTGCAAGGCGTCTTCTAAGTAACTAAGCAAAAGCTTGTCCCGAATTGCGAGGTATAGTAACAGTGTCTTAAATCAAATATGGAGAATTCAAATTGGTATATTCACGTGGCTTTAAAGAAGTCGGTGTGACAGGTTTTATACAAATTTAACTGGTCAAACCGGCCGGTCAAACAGCATCCTGTTGGTAGTGGAGCGAAATTTAGCTATATAGGTCTACATGCAACAGGAGGGTTTCTGGTAAACGCATGAAACTTGCCAAATGGGTCAAAATAGCTACGTCTTAAGGTCTGGACTTCATCGCCAAGTTGTCACTAATAGGTTGAAAAATGTAGCAGATGAAAACTGGCAGTCTATATTACACGCGAATCAGGTGTTATTATTTGCGCACAAATTCACGCTTTTAATCGTATTCCGTTATTAAAACATCCATGACAAAATGAGCGCGAAAAATTCCATAAATGTTGGAATTTGTATTTGATTGTGCAGGTGGACGACAACTCGCGTGTGATGGGGCTGAAAAGATATGCACGTATCTCTACAAACTTTGCCGTGTAAAAAAGTTGTAGAGTTAATTAATTTACCATTAATTAATTAAATGACATCTGACCACGAGTCTTATTCGGAAACCAGTCACCATTGATCGTCCCTCACGAAAGCCTGCGTCTGTGAGGCTGATTAGACCGTCCAATCCACAAATCTGTTGATGAATTTGATACTACAGAAAAGTGGATTATTAACCACAAGACATATCGCATTGCTGTCTTGGAAGGTGGAAGAAAAGTGCATGTACACCCATTAGCGACAACATCCTAGATAGGCCTATTTGCTGTTTTGAAGAAGTAGGCCTGGGGAAAATTCTCACTGGAGCAGCTCATTGCCGTCTATTCAGTTCCATTCGGAAAACCGTGCAGCTTGCATTGCCGTGGCACTCTATATAATTATGGTGTTCTATTTAGGCCATGCTACGCAGCGGGGCGAATTTCTTCGCGCGGAGAGTGTAGTTTGGCAGCGTGGTAAGTGCGCATTACCAGCACACTGTCGTAGAAGTTGGTACCTTAATTTAATACTTCTACACAAACACCCCTTGCACAAGGGTTTTGTGCAGAAACCCTGTCAGACCGCAAATATCTACTCCTAACCACGTTCAATTAACTCGGCATCCACAGGGGAGTTCAGACTCAGCGACTGCTGGAACCGTAGGGTATGCTGACGGGCGACGCACGACGGGCGACGCACGACAGACGACGGGCGACGGGCGACGCACAACGGCAGATATGGAATTCCATAGAACACACTATACAGTACAAGTGTTTATGCATGCTCACAGTGCATATTGATTATGTCGGTGACCAGGATGGTATCAGAAGGCCGTTTCAACCTCTTCTCGTTTTAACCCTCCACTTTTCTGTCGGTTGTAAAAAAATGTAAATGCATGATGTTTCGTCATGGGTGTGGACAGTTACTGTTAAATAAACTTCATGCAGCGGGGATTTTTTGCCAACGTTTTCACCAGCTTGATTGCCCCAACCTTGTTTGTT